TCTCCTCAGAAACAAGCCAGAAACCCGAACTTTTTTTACCATAGACATAGCACACTATGGGCTACAAGATGCGCGAAACCCCGATTGAAAAGCGCTCCCGCACCTTGGAAGGTTCCCTAGTCAGTTCATACGATTGAATCACTATCAAAGAAACTCATTTTGTTAGCAATGGTATTCATATTCAATGATTTAGCTGTCGGAAATGTTCACAGTACCTAATAGACAAGGCGAAATTTTTTCATTTTGTACGACAGGATATAATTATGTACTTATATGTTAATTTCATAGGAAAAAGAAAAAACAAAATTATCTTGGATTGATCGAATGATGGAAGAAATTAAACAAGATCAACATGTAATGATTTCATTAAAACAAATGCGTGAAATATGTACACAATTTTCTGAGGTTAATCAATTTTATAATATTTTGTATTTTAATCAAAATATTTTTATTTCTATTAATAGCATGGATATCCACATAATAATATTTCACGTATGTCTTATCCATTAAATAGAATTGGTCTTATTGATATATTAGAAAAAAAACATAAATTAACTCGTGTTATAACTGAAAATCTTTGTCATTATATGGATAATACTAGACGATATAGAGACGGTAGTAGACGAAAAAAAAACAATGATTTTATCTTATTTTGTATGTATAATATATATTTAAGAAACAAAAAAGATTTTACCACCGGAAGATTATTATCCCGATGGTCATTTTAATCATAATCAACAAATAAATGAACGTTTAATTTTTCTTAAGTAAAATTATTTCGAAATACAAAAAAATAAAAAATAATTTTATTATTTATATTAAAAGGTTTACATTAAAAGAAGGTCGACTTTATCTAGGTTTTGATTATATGAAAATGATTTGGATAAGTTTAGCTGAACAAGCTGTTTATCCACATGATCGTGAACAATGTTTTCGTTGGTTTGCTGAAGTAAAAAAATAAAATATTAAATTTTCTTTTTTTTTTTTTTGTTTTCATTTTCAATAATTTTTCTGTTTGTTTAGATTATTGATGAAGTTGGTTTTGATTTAAAAGCGGGAAAAGAATTTTTTCAAAATCATTTTATGAAACTTGAACCTCATTTACTTACTGATCTTGGAATGAAGTAAGTTAATTTTATATTATATTAAAAATAACAATATTAACGAAATTATTCAATAAAAGACTTACAATAGATAGAATAAAACAAACTTTGCATGATTTCATTTGAATTTAGTTCTGTCAAAAAAAGAAAAAATAAATACGAAAACATCGGATTTAAATCCGAGTGTTATGTGTAATTCAAAAAGTGAAGAGGTATATTCACTTTGTTTTTTATCAACTGAGACATATCTAAGCAATTTGCTTTCTGCATGCAGTTTTTTGTGCATTTTGAGACCTTTTTTCAGCCGATGTTTTGTTAAAAAGCTACGATTTGGTTCAAAACTAATATCAGATTCGGAATCAGCGTTAAAAACTGACGAGCGAACCACCCGAGGTGTCAAAAAGCTTTTGAGCTGAAATTTTGCCCACACGTAGGGGATGCATAGACTAGAAAAAGTCTAAAAGGATATGGGCCCAAGTTGGGATTTGACTGAGATATCGACTATTTACCATAATTTTCCTATATGATCCTACTTGTCCGATAAAATCAAAGTTTTGAATTTAGGCCTGAAACTTTGTCCACACCAAGGCCACAATCAGACAAGCTTGCCTACAAAGTTTCAGAACTCTTGGATAGACTATCTCCGAGATATGAATCTGCAACAATATCTATGTGAAACATTATATGCATAAAAAAGCGTCTTTATGCTAACATACTAGT